GAACTATCTCTTGCTTTCTTTTGGCATTACGTGAGAATCCCGCATTAAAAATAACCAATCAGAGAGTGGTTCTATTTCTTGTATATACACCAGGCATATAGCACTTTGTGAAACGGAACTCTTTGAGAAGCTTCCCCAAACGTTACTACAACAATAGAAATGATATTATATTAATTCAGTCATTTCCACCCATGGAGAGAAGTAGTGCGCTTCTTATCTAATCATGCACCCTGAGCTTAGAAGGAAACTGGCTTATAAGGCCCGGTCCAAATGCCGCTCCACTCATGTGCCGAAATTAACTCGATTAGGTTCGACTTTGGAGCGACGGCTGATTCAGACGGCGTACTTGCGTCGAACTTAATTCAGGAAGCCCGTGGTAAACAATTTTCGATGAGAAAATCTGCTTTCTGAATTCAATAATTCTGTCCAAATCGAAACGCTGTGGCTAATTTTTCGCTGTAATAGCAATGTTTAGGGACAGTAAATTCAGTCGCAACGTTGCTTGTATTTAGAAAGGTTTTTCCCCGACAAATTCGACCTGCCGAACCAAACTTATTCAAACGCCGCTCGCGTTTGGAACGGGTTATCAAAACGGAAGCGATTGAAAACGGATGCGGGATCCTATTCTTTTATAACCTTTTAAATGCGACATTTCAGGAACGTACCTTTCTTTGATCCATGCGTTTACCGATGATTGCTGGCGGTGCTTTCTTGATGGTGCATCTTGACTTCCGCTCCTTCTTTCTCTTTGCCATGGTTAGGCGTGTGTACAAATTTGCTCGATATTCTGCAACACGAAATATTATAAAGAAAAGCATGGGGGGGGGGGTGGGGTTAATAACGACATTCTCTGCAAAGTCTTTACACAGGGCATGCAGTACTTGCGTTGAAGAAATTCTCTGATGAAAAATAATCTAGCTAACATAAAAATCATAACAATAACGCGGCGGTGAAACTGTTAAAATGCAATCATAAAGCAGGGAGGCAGCGTGGCCAAGTGATTAGAAATCCGGAGGTCGCAGACTACTAAAAGTGAAGTTGTTTCTCGGAAAACCCTGGTTCAACTTTTCGGTAATGCTTGTAAATAGCCAGCTGGTCTGCCTCCCACCAGTTGCGATTTTTAAGCCTATTATGTTTGTTTGAAATATTTCTTTCTTTCAGTTTAACTGGCATGTCTGAGAACTAAGGTGAAGCTAAGCGCATCGACCACAACAACAACAACAACAACAACACATCCAAGGTTTCATACCCGAGAAACGCCTTCCGCCAATGCTTCGTTTCTCAATAAAGACGTGGCCGCAAACACAAGAGCTACTTGAGTCTAAAATCTGTAATATGGTACATGTAGATATAAGTTAAAAAACAACTATAATAATCCAAACTAATTTCAATTTACGTATTGAAGGTAAAAAAAGGTCCACATCCAAAATCTTCAATTTAAGTGATTATATGACAGTTTTGTTTCTAAGATATCCAGTAGTATACGAACAACGCAAAAGAAATATAATGAAGCTTTCAGCACGCGTTCTATCCCACAAGGAAAGCATATATCTTCAAAACAACATTGGATAATAAAGTGTATTATCGTTTGTCTCACGATGTAGTCACTTGAGATGTAGACCGCGACGTTTCGACTGCTTACTGCTAGTCTTCTTCAGCCG